AACATGTCAGCACATCAATAGTTCTGAGGTTGAGAAACCTTGCTCCAAAGCTCTCATGATCTTGCCAATTTACCAGCTGCCTCACTAGAATACAGTGATGCACGATGTTAATGTTTTGATACTGCAATAAATAAAGTTGCTCTTGAAAAACAATTTATACCAAAAAAGGACAAAATAGTATATCTCCAGTGACACAACTGCTTTCTTTTGGGGACTCCCCCCCACCCCCCACTGCATGTGGTTATGGGAAACTGCCAATCACAGTGCTCCACCTGCCTCTGAAGGCATGGGCTGATACGTTAAGCTAGCTGGTCCAACCGCAGTGTCTATTTCCCTGGCCTGGTTTTGGTTCAGGGTTGGGCAGGACCCTGACAGAGCCAGCTAGAGTCTTCTCTGGGATTTGTCTGTGAATTTTCACAGAGGGAAGAGGTTTTATTCTGCTGAGGTTGCTAAGCTTGAATGCAGAGCCCTGGACTGTAAAGAATAAAACAAAGAGGACTTTTGCAGTAGGAGAAAATGAGGTCAACGGACCTAGGGAAGCACTAAAAACCCTGCATGATCCCCGGCATTCAGCACCACTAACCTGCTTAGTCTCATGAATGAAATTTTTTAAAAAAAATTTATTCAACTTAGTTTGGGTTGAGTTTTTGTCATTTATAATCAAAAGAATGCTGAATAATAGAGTATGCATGCTTTTTCTGACATATATTAAAAAAACCCCAAAAACTATGTTCCATTCACAGTGTTGTTTCTATTAAAAAGAAAAAGAAGAAGGCATGAGGACTACCCTTGAGGAATGCACATTCTCCTTGGGAGGCAAGGCTAGGATTTAGGAATATCGAACTTCACCTTTTCATCTACACGGTGGCCTCCTTGAGAGCAGGGACTGGGTTTTCTAGTTCTCCATCCCCGCCCCACAGGCACACCCAGCCCAGTGACTGGCACATGTTTAATAAGTAACTGCTGAATAGCTAAGCAGATGGCACCTGCTGTTATGTTTGTTAGGGCTTTTATGGACTAATCTTATATACTCTTTTCTCATTTCCTTTCCCTAATGTACAATACTGCTGACCTTTGGGTAACTCATTATATTATTCACTAAAACAGATTCTACAAAAAATGTTCACTGTAATAAAATATGCTATGGTCTACAGAATAGAGGAACTATTTCATAAAAATGATCTGAAATTTCCTAAACTCATTTAAAATCATAAAACGTGTTAACATTCTGTATTTAACTAAGCCCATAGCTTAGTTTAAACTCACCAAAATGTAGTAAAAATATAAAATATTCAAACAGAACATAGTTGGATTTTTATTGTCCAAAATAGTACTTTCTTTATTTAAAATGCACCTTCGCAAACAAAAGACTATACTTTAACCAAACAAATGAGAAATGCGGAACAAATAGGGAATAACCAGTATTTGGAGAGGAGCAGCTGGGAAAGTTTTGATTAAGCTATTTCTGCTTCCAAACAGAAAGTCTGGTTACAGGATCTGTTACAGATATGCTGACTTCCAATATGTTAAACTAAACAGAATTTCAACTCTTTACATCAGCAGCAAAAAATAGCCACAAGATACATAAAAGATTTTAGCTCTTACCACTTTCCTCTGGTCTCGTGTTGATCTGAGGACCTCGAGAGTTTGAATCCCTCCCTCACCCAGAAAGTTCTGTTCTCCTATTTTTGGATTCTTGCTTGAATACTGTTTGGTAACCACTCAGAGATGATGATTTTCAGCTTAGTTCCTACCTGGTCCTCAAAAAACAATCAAACTCTGGGTGGAGGGAGCGTTCAGGTTCAGCCCTGTGCTGTGGGCATTGGCAATCCTGAACAAACAAGAATGGCCTTAATGTTGGGAATCTATTACTGGCTGCAGCAGCTTCTTCTGGTTCCAGATACAGTATCTGTGGCCAAATGAGGTTTAATAGACAGAATCATTCTCTAAATGGTCATCCTATCATCAATATCCATGGCCAGAATGGCTGGGTAAGCTGTTGGGCAAGATCTGAGAAGGGAGGGGTCGACAACAGAGTTGGGAACTCTCTAGGCAACAATTAAGAATGATTTACATGATAGTCTATGTTGGAAATTACACATTTGGACATTTTCCCCTCAGAGGCTGCTCTCCTAAAAAATCTGTCTTGTGCTGTGGAATCTTAAACGTGTACCTGCTGTGTTCTGTGGAAGTCCTATCTCCTTCTTGGCACCTCCACAGAGATTCAGGAATGTCCTGAACTTCAGAAAAGAACCATCTGAATCATTCCTTTGCCAACACAGTGTGATAATTTCTCCAGAGATGATAAAAATCATAGCTTATTATTGTTAAAAGAGATATTAAAAATCATCTAACCCAGTCCTTTTATTATATTTATTGGTCATGAAGCTGAGGCACTTTGAAAATTAAGTGGCTTTCGTGGTTGAATTATAGTCTACATAATGGTGGCCATGGTTACTAAATTGGTGGTATAGCGTACCCTAGCTGGTAAGATGATAACCCAGGGGGCAGGAAACTTAACGGAACTTCTCTTTATGTTTATTTATCTCATCCTACTATAAGAAAGGTTATTTCTAAATGTTTAAGAAGAATAACTAATTATGACTTTTATGACCATACAGAAATGACTTTGATGAATGTATTTGGCAATATATATGGTGTATTCAAAATCAACCCCCTAGCATTTTTTATCCCTTTTTTATGTTCTTTTCCCCCAAAGCAGTGATTATCATGTTACAATACTATCTCTTTTATTTATTTACTTTGTTTACAGTCTGTCTCCCCTCTCCTGGAATGTGAGCTCCGTGAAGGCAAGACATCACTGGCTACGTAGGGAGCTACATGGACTGTATGTCAGACCACCAAGAAAGAAGCAGTTATTTCCTCTTCTCTTTTCCTTGCCCATGTCTTGTTCTAGAAGTTTATTAGCATGTCCTCTAAGATCACCATCAAATTACTTACTATATGATCTAGGGAAAACATGTTGCTTTTGTATGCCTCAGTTTCATAAGCAAGTTGGACTTGGGCTGGACTAGATAATCTTTTGGTCCCTTCCAGGTATAATATTTGTTCTCTGTTCTATTTCTAGTTCCTAGAACAGAGAAGGCACCCAATAAATATTTTTAAATGAATCTGTTAATATGGTAGTACTGGTATATAACATGCAAACAAATATAGGTATGTCAGCTGTGAATGCTCAACAACTTTTTCTTGGTAAGGGTATATTATTTGTAATGTTTGGAGCCTATGAATTGGGCATTTTTTATTTGAAGTCGGCTGGGGGAACTGGTTAAGGGCTAGATGGGTACTAATGAAAAAGGGCACTTGAAGTGAGGGCTCTTCTGTGCGGTGGAGACTGTAACTCTCTGGGAAAAGGATTTTTTATTCTGGAGATTTGTCTGAGTGGCCTACTTCAGTCATGAGAAAGTAGGATAAGTAGGCAAGCATTATTCTGGGCTTAGAGTAGAACAGGAACTGTGGTGACTGAATGCAGGCTTCCATTATTTTGGATAACAGGTTTTAAAAAAAAATAGCTCCTTTAGGGATTAACAGGGCAAATTTCTGCTGCTGAGATTCAATTTCAAGAAGAGCTGGAGAGATGGTCACAAGTTGCCCCAAACAAGGCCCTGTGGCAGAAAAAAGCAATGAGGTCCTTCAAATAGAATTCCCTGAGGAATAGTAGATTCTTGGCAAATGACCTGGATCCGAAAGTCTAAGTTTTGGGAGTGGAGCAGAGGTTGTGGGTTAGGGCACAATCTATACGTAAGGGCAGATGCTCTGTAGGACCTAGCCACGTGGGCTCTGTGTTTTGAGGATGTGCTTTGGAGAGCAATGATTGAACAGTGTGTATGATCTCAAACCTGCTGCCATGTACGTGTCTGGACCTGGCCTTCTCCACAGAGTCAACAGACCCCCATAGGACTGAGCAGGACTCAGCTTCAAAAGTCACACTGTCTGGCAGGGAGAACCAAGAGCCGTGGTGAGCTAACCCAAATCCAGTCTTCTCTATTCCTGGTGTTAAAACTTTGTTTGTTACTTGGTAAGTCCTTTAGATACTTGGACAACCTGAGGTTGGGATGGAGTAATGAATGAGGTGTGAGGTATGGAGATGATGCCCAAGCAAACAACTGGGAAAAAACCAAACAACAAAAAGAGATGTGAAAATCATTTTACTCTGAGTGTGTATAGGGATTTTCTATAGTTAAATTGTCTTTTTTTTTTTAAAACCTGTGAACATCCAGAAGCACATTAGACGTGAGTTCCCATTAGCATTGAGGAAGGCAAGTGAGTGGACAAAGTCCAAATTCTGGGATGAGGAAGTGTGAAATTAAAAATATGTTTTCAGTTCTGACAGTAGACTTATTTGCATTGTCAGGGTACTTACATTTCCTGACTACTGTTTTTATCTCTTTGGAGGTCGTAGAGATCAAATGTGTGTTAACTTTCCTGTTGTATAACATCACTGATCACCAAGGTAATTTTTATAGGTAAAACAGAAACAAAAGAAATTGCATAAAGGGTCACATATTTCAAAAGAACCAACCGCATCAAATGTCATATTGATAACACATTGCCTGAAAGCACTTGCTCTTTTTCTTCTAAGTAACATCTAGTTTAATTAATTTGCTCTTTGCAGTGGTGCATTACACCGCCCTTGGGAAGAAAGGGAAGGTAAACATTCTTCTTTGTCTTTTGTTACTTGTAGGTCAAGACTGTTGCTTTAGCACGGTGACGCCGCATCAGAACAATGTGTGTTGGAGTCTCGGACTCCGTAAGATGCGGGTCAGGTACTCACATGACAAAGCCCATCCACTGGCCCCTATGACACCAAGTACAGCTCAGAGGGGAAGGTTACTTAGCTTCTCAAACTCAGCCACAGACCCTGAACAATTCTCAGGAAGAGAAGGGCTAATGTGAATGAGGGCAAAAGACATATTTACTCCTCAGTGTTAACGTGTTTATACTCACAAAATGGCAGTTTAACTATTGATGGCACTTACATCTTGGTTAGACATTTCCCAATAAGGTCTCTCTCCATAGGACATGACCTCCCACATGACAATGCCATAGCTCCATGCATCACTTGCTGAGGAGAATTTTCTGTAGGCAATAGCTTCGGGGGCTGTCCACCTTATGGGAATTTTCCCACCCTGGAAAACAAATTGGAGATTTCTCAGCTGGCTCACAAGTGTATTAAAAAATGAAGTGGCAGTCCAATTAAATAACTTTTGTTAGAAAGATCTAAATACTGCATGATAGCATTGGCATTTTAAATAAAAATAAGAGAACCAGAATCATGTTAAATGTCAGAAATATTTTTTCCTATAATAATTATTCAGTGCAAACAACTTTAATAGGAAATAAGTCACACTTCAGAAATACTTTATTTCATTCACTGGAGAAATTTATTTTCACTTTAGATTCACACAGTTAAACTCACTATCATGCCATTTGAAGAAAGTTCTGGATTATAGAACATTAAAACTAAATATCATTCAACATTCATTAAACATCGTATTACATGTATAAATAATAATGAGAATAAGTTCTAACTTAATTGAAGATAGATGGTTAAATACAGAACTGAGATGTTCTCTGCAATTCAGTGTTTATTAGAACTTTCCCTCTTTCCTTTTTATCTATGATTACATTTATTTTAAATTAAAAAATCCTTTAACATTATACAAGAGCACCTGAGAAGGATAATTCTTCTTTAGAACACTTTAGGCTAGTTTATATTCTTGTTCTTCAGTGTTCAAGTTCACATTTGAACATATTAAAGAGATGAAATTGCATGAATTTAATCTATATTGTTCAGGTATTAAAGCCCGCTATTGTGTTATACTTAATTTTTATCAACATTTACTACATTTTATCTCTCGAAACACTCTATAAATCCCTTTTTACTGTAATGACAAGAATAAAACAATTCATCCATTTGATTTACAGTCTTTGAAATCTTTGCCGCTCTGAACGGCAAAGTCGAGCGGAGGAGAGCACCCCTGTCGCCACTAGAGGGCGGAAGAGAACAACGAGCTGCGCCCGGGCCGCGGTTTCCCGCACCGCGGAGATGGCTTCTGCTGGCAACACAGATCTTTTAACTGTCCGAAAGCTCCGCGATGGAATTGTTTCATCAGTATCAGCATTTCCATGAACACATCATCTGATCGCCCACGGCGCTCAAAGTCCGGTGTGACGGTGAGCGGGGGTGGGAGGCGATAGAGGGTGCATTCTCTGGCCCTTGAGGAAGTGAGGTTTAACACCTTTAAAATGTGAAGCCATGAATCGAGTAATCTCTAAGCATTTACTTGAAGAGAAAAGCGATTCATCCGAAATGGGAATAATTGGGTTTCACCAGGCAAATGAGAGCTTTAATGGAATCCTCATTTTAAAGACTTGTAGCGAGGAACCTTGGGGATAATACCTTGAATTCAATCCCCTGATTTTACAGGTGAGTGGCTGAATCTAGGGTTTAGAGATTCCTCCCCACATTATTAAATACATACTGTCTACTAATGTTATCATAGTAGTATTATGGGGTATTGATATAAAGTTGTAAATACTTCATCATGGGGGAAAAGCTGGGCCAAACGAGTGTTTTAACATTGAGCATCTTATAGTCATCTATCATCGTAGTATAATGGAAGGAAGCCAGAAGCCTGAAGTCTGGGGTGTTCACGCTTTGTGGCAGTACAAAATTAAGGCCAGGAAATTAAATTTACAAAGTCGGTGATAGCAGTTTAAGAGGGTGATGGGTGGGGGAAGGGAGTTGCAAGAGAAGGATTCATTTCTAAACCCAGAGTAGAGTTGCCAGATAAAATACAGGACCGACAGATTAGAATTTCAGGAAAATAACAAATACTTTTTTTTTAGTTTAAGTATGTCCCATAAAGGAATATATTTTTGTGTGTAAGTATGTCCCAAATATTGCATGAGACATTTCCACTAAAAAAAAATTCATTGTTTCTCTGCAATTCAAATTTAACTGGGCATCCTATATTTTTATTTACTAAACCAAGCAACGCTATTATAGAACATGAAAAAAATAATTCAGAAATGGAAATATTGTAAATGATCCAACACAACATTAGTGTTCTAAAAAAAAAAAAAAAACACCAAACTAGTGTGGTCTATACTTCATGAGGGGACAAGGACACTCTGACTTGCCCCAGGCCTATAGCAGCCTTTGTTTTATGGTCTATTGGTGGCTAAAGCACCTTGGTCCTGTGGCTCTGCATTCTGAAGCCACTTAAGTCAGGATCAGGTTTGTTCCAATATGGAAGCCACGCTTCCAGAGACTAAAGACCAAATTTGTAGAGTTGACTTCAGAACAGATGCAGGAGCAGCAATCTCATTTGACATTTCTGACTCTGGATCTTTCTTTGTCTCTCAGGCAAACAATGCGTAGAAGCGTGAATTGCTAATCTGCTGAAAATGTTCCTTTGCTAAATCTTTGTGAGTTCTATTAGGACAGCTAAAAAATGTAGTTAAGGGTTATTTTAGGTGCGCTCACTTATAAATGATATCTCATATAAATGATTCACATATAAATTTATATGTCATATAAGTTGGTATCACATGTAAATAATAACTTTTCCCTTTTCCTTTCTAAGATTTTATTTTTCCTGGAGGAGAAGATATTACAGAATATTTGATTAATAGCATTGCTATCTGTTATGGACTGAATTGTGTTTCCTCAAAATTCATATTTTGAAGCGCTAAGCCCCAGTGTGACTGTATTTGGTGGTAGGGCCTTTTAAGAGGTAATCAAAGTTAAATGAGGTCATAAGGGTGGGCCTTACTCCAATACGCTACTGTCCTTCTAAGAAGATGAAGAGACACCAGAGGTGTGTAGGCACAGGGAAAAGGCCCTGTGAGGACACAGCAAGAAGATGGCCATCTGCAAGCCAAGGAGAGAAAACTCAGAAGCCAAACCTGCCCACATTTAGATTTTGGATGTCCAGTCTCCAGAACTGTGAAAAATAAATTTTTATTGTTTGAGCCACTCAGCCTCTGGTATTTTGTTACGGTAGCCCTAGCAGACTAATACGTCACCCTTAGAAAAAACCAATTTTTTTTACCTAGGATGAGCAACATTGCAAAATGGACAGTACATCTTTATTTCAAACTCTATGCCAAGTGCCATCTTGAAATGGGAAGTGTGAGCTAGAATAAATCTTACAGATGAAAAATCGTCACAGAAGTTTTAAGGTAGGAGATATAATTCTAACTAATAAAAATGCATGGTAATATGAACCTGACAGTATGCACGGACTTCAATAATTCTGAGCATATATGGGATGGAGATAAGGAAGCTTTCAAATCTTTTTTTCTAGTGGGAGGATGGATATAGCCTGAATATAGTTGATCTCTCAGTGCAAGATAAGGCTGAAAGGAAGAGGTCCTTAAGATTACCACATGGTCTCTATCCCCTTTCCTATTTTAGAGGAAACACAGAAGCTTAGTTCTTTTCCTTTTTTTTTTTTTTTAATTGAATGGACCAACATACATTTGTGACTTAATCTCAGCTTCTTATTTTTGCCTATGATCTCAAATCATAGACAGAGGTAATGCACTAAGTTACTTTTTTCTCAAAGCATTAACCACCAGATGTTTGTTTTAGGTTTCAGGAATGAACAAATAGTACTTTAGATTTGAAATCACAATCATTGGAACATTACATGTTGTTTTACCATATGTTTATGAGGGGGAAAAAAAGTTACCAATGATGCTAATCAAAATGACTGAATGCAACTGTAAAGACTTCTCACTTCCCAGTACTTCCCTTATGGGGAGAGCTTAATCACTTAGGGAACAAAGGAGAAACAGATCCAAACTGGATCTGGATGGCTACTGAAAAGATTGTTAGCAACCCTTTTTTCCTGTTTTTTAAGTCCTATCCAGAGCTTGCTGTCTAAACAAGGGTCACAGCCGAGAAAGTCCTGAAGAAACAACCAGGAACCCTGTATTATACTTGTAAAAACCTTCTACCTCCTGAGGAGAGTTGCATTATAGTTGTATTTAACATCTGAGGTAATAGAGCCTGATCCTCTAATCTTCAGTGCAGGAGACAATCAATTGAAATATAGTAAGGTTACAAAGGCTTAATACTGAAACCAAACAGAAAACTTCCAATGAGAAACAAGAACACTTAAATCTCTCTCCATTTCTCGTTCACTGGATTTGACGGTTATCTTAAAGGCGAATGGTTTGAATAGGCAACAATCTGGCTGCAGACTTTTTCTTTTTTCCTTAATCTATCTCTGTGGTACGCAAACTTCAAGGAATATAAGGATTACACTACAGAAAACATATATACTATGCTTAAAGATTAATTTAAGAAATTTCTAACGATGATTTTAACTAAATATTTTTCTTTAAGAACTTCAAATCCTAAGTGGGATGAAACTCTTCTACAATCCATTGTGTGACTTTGGGCAAGTCTTAACTCTGAGTCTTATATTTCAGATGAGGGGATTTGTTTAATGATCATAAAATAATAAACTTGAGTGAGTTTTAATATGTGCCTACCGTTTCTTGGCTCCCATTAAACGGAGTTGATAGGCCATCTGAGGTGGTACTAAGTTCAGGTAAACAGATGGCCGAATGACAGACAGAAGAGGACATAAGCACACTCATGTTTCACATCCCAGATCAATAATTAATGGTCGCAGGGACCATCCTGAGTCGTAAGGAAGGGTTAAAATAACTTAATCACTTTTAGTTTAAGAAGGCAACAGTATGAAAATACGTATTAGAAAGGCATGAAACCAGGACATTGACCTTTCCCCCTTTTTGCTCACTTAAGGAGCAACCACTGGTTATTTGGAAAACTCATTATATGGACACTTCCTGAGGTCAGAAGAAAGAGGCACTAGTTTGTTTACTGAAAGGTCATTTTACATGAAAATTTCCTGTCAGTGGGATTATTTGGAGCAACGGCGGAGGCCTTGGCACTCTCAAGTCTTCTGCCTTAATTCAGTATGGTGTCCTGGGAAGTCAGAGCAAATCACCCTCTCACATGCTAGTTATACAGACAACCCTCACTGGGGGGTTATTCTTCTTTCTCTTGAGAATTACTGATCTTGAGAGGTAAGTCCATCTCTGAGCATGTCTTTCTAGTTTGTAACCCCAAATCAACAAATCATAA